CAGTAGGGTTTTCTTTTCCTTATTTGAAGAACAATAAAGGCTTTGCAGAGACTTCAACCTGCCTTTGGTATGTCACAAAGCACCCATGCCTTCAAGCGCTATGCTGGCACGCCAACTGCTCAATTATTTGGCAGTAAGGGGCGTCAGTATTGGTGCAACAAGCTATTTTGAATGTAAAGGAAAGGTAACGAGAATTGAGAAATGGCAAAAAAGAATCTTCTGTAGAGTTCTGAGCTCTTTATATGTGCCACTTTGATTGTCTTTACATTGTAGAGACATTTTAACAGGAACTGGAATTTTGAGAAGAATGAAGGATTGTGGAAGGAGATAGCACATCTGCTAGTAAGGCTGCACAATGACCTGTGGGGAGTTATACTAAGGTGTGACTTAGCAGAAAAAAATAGCCTAAGATATCCTGCCTACTTTCTCTTGCAAGTCGACAATGCAAAGGTCCGTTCTTCACACCAATTCCACAACCAATAAAGAGATGCTCTGACCTGTAGCACTTACTTGAATGAGGTTACGAATGCTGAGAGCACCTCGTCCTATCGTTCTGGCAGATGTATTATCTAACCACGATCTAACTCACCTAACCATTATTTAACTCACTCTTAGCTTAATTTGTGACCTTGCCATTTTTAAGAGCAAGGAGGTGAGACTGGGTAGCTTCTGCAGCCTGATCCTAGCTGCTACAAAACGTCCCTGCCTGACTTTGGGCAAGTTCTCTACATTTCTCTGCCTCAGTTCCCCTTTGCTAAAACAAAGACGATCATGCTCACCGAGTCCAGACTACAGTTAGAATTACCTAGTTAACACTATTTAAAGGATCGAAAGCAGTAAGAAATTGTGTGTTATCTAGCCCTCCTCCCCCACAAACTGTGTCTTAAAAACAGCAATCCATTTTACCTGGGAGCTAGAGAGATGCGAGCAGATTGATGAACTGTCCTGAAGGCACACGTGAGCGGCTGCCCGCCAAAGCAGCAGCGTGCAGACCGCCAGCAGCGGGCAGACCCCGGTTAGGGTGAGGCAGCCGAGTGGCGATGTGTTGAGTGGGTGCAGTTGTTGTGGCAGACCCGTTCGAGCATTTTCACTAGCGGTGTAGCAAGCGGCTGCTATCTTCCTCTCCGTTATCCACGGGGCTTCTTCTTCCGGGCTTCTCTACTGCTTACGCTAAATCTACCTATTCCCAAAGGTATTCAGTTTCCCACTGTTTGTGTCCTTATTGTGCTACCTAACTTCTTCCCCTACTGCAGCTCTGGGAACCATGGGATCACAACTCAGCTCTTGTAACGTCTTTTTGTCTGTCTGTTTGTTTTCTTGGCCTTTCTTTGGAAGCAGACGCTGCGTAGAAAGGAGGCTCTGTCGGCTGGCTGCCCCGGGTCAGCGGGCACGAGCCTACGCCCCTGCACCTCCTCCCTGAGGAGCACGCCACGTTTTTTTCTCTTGAGCAGGGAGGATGAGCCAGGGGCAAGCGTGCGGGCACAGGAATGGACAGGACGCTTGGAGGGAAGAGGGAGGGACAGAAAAGTCTATAATCAGCAGAGCAGCCTCTTAACACCTGAAACAAACCCTCTGGGTACGAGTCACGAGGCCTCTGGCGCCCGCACACATGAAAACACAAAGGCACGCGCTTCAACATACTCTTCGCTGCCCCCCCGTAGCTCGCCCTACCTAGGGGATGGCACAGGCCACTGCCAGCGGCTCTGCTGGGGGAACCTCGTTGGGGCTCCAGCGCTGCCCGTGCTGCAGCCAACGGGAGCCTGCACCACGGTCTTCTGGAACAGGACGCACTCGGTCAGCGTTGTTTTAAAAACAGTATCTTGAATGACAGATGGAAAAGAAGAGCACTGAGCAGCTTTTGTTTGCCAACACACTCCTGCGACATTACAAGGTGCTAGGGTTCGTTCTCTTGCCGTGTGCGCGGGCTGTCCACCCTGGATACCCCTCTGTGACGCTCCAGGAGGCTCCATGGCCAGTGTCCACCTCCACACCTGCACCTTCAGCGCATGGCCACCCGAAGGACCTAACTCATCTTTTCCCCTGTGTTCTCATGAAGCGCTTCCAAGTGCCTAAACCCTCTTAACCTTCGATCACACATCTCTGTCTATGCTTATCTTTCTATTTAACAGTGTTGGGGCCTTTGATCATCACAAACGCAACCGATAAAATTACCTTTACCCTTCCTCACAAATAATCCCAAGCAAATAACACAAAGGGTATGCACTCACCTTAGCATGCATTACTTTACAACAGCTGTATAAAACAAGCTGTGAAGTTTATCTTCTCATTTTCATTAAATGTTTTCAAATGCTTTAATCACAAGCACATACTTGAAAGAGCATTTTTTTTCACTGACCTGAAACAGATCCTTATCAGAACTGACACTAGAGGACTTTCCAGGTCTCTGTTTTATTTTTTTATACTCAAACTGCCCAAGGTCCAACCTGGCTGCTAGCTCCCAGGCACCTACATAGAGACCGCACCTAGAGACAGCTAGGCAGGCTGCAGCTATTGGTCTGAGCCAGAGGTGGGGAAGAAATCCTTAATTTTAACAGCTCCGAAAGAAAAAAAGAAATTTGTAACAATAAGACCCATACATTCTGCTGCATTCACATATGCTGTAACTCAGGAAAGCTCCTAGGCACATATTTCAGAATAAGTATGTCAAATTCTGCCCTGAAAAGGGTTCTGTGTAAGCAAGTGTTTTTTGGAATGAGACCTCCATGACGGTATATAGTAAAAAGAAATGTCTTCGCTGCCAAATCTTAAGTCCACTTGACTGTCACCACGGTACATTTTATTGCTGCAAAACATCAGATGAACACCACAGCAATTAAATATCTACGCAAAACCACAGCAGCTAGTGATACCTGTGGCTAAATCAGGCCCACACTGATGTTTACAAGAGCTGTTTCACAGGCACTTCAGAGGCACGACAGATACCAGACCAGCAGTGACGGGTGACAACTCCTGCTGTGCCCCGGCAGCTGCCTTCGCCGGGCCCACAGAGTCCCCCTCTTCTCCGTACACTCCCACCTTTTTTCGACTGCACTGCCCATGCTACGGCACATGGATCTGCTCTTCCATCCACCAAGGCATGCCGCTTGCAGAATTGCTACAGAAAACCTTTTCCAGTCATGCCGATTTGTCTCATTTGCTCTAGTAATTAAAGTCTTTTCCACAACCATTCACAAAGATATCCTACCGACTCAAAATATTTTATTTTCCAATCTTGAAGCTGCTTGAACTCACAGCCAACCATTCCCAATGCCATTATCAAATTAAGTACTGCTCTGCAAGTCTACAGATGTACCCGTGGCCTAGACTACACTGATATAAAGCAACACTAGGAATATGCTAATAGCTGTAATGTTAAAATACATTAAGACGATTTCCCATGCTAAGAATATGTTGGCTGATCCCAGTTGATTCTACTGATGCACTCTAATGCAGAGTGAAAATTTTCACCTAAATTATTTTTCAAGGGAAAAGTGCGGATTCTCTCACATTAATGAGTTCAAGAATCTGTATTAAATTCCCAGACTGCCTGCTTAGAAAAAAAATATAAAAAACGTTTAAAACACTTCCAAACAAATAATTCATTTTCTCTACTATAATGTAATCCTTCAATTGTTGAAGAAAATATTATTTCTGACCTCAGTCAGAAAGAAGAAAACATGTTGCTCAATTTAACCCTCTTTTCTACTTCCAGATGGTTCACTACCTGTTTTCAGAGTATTTCATTTTCCACCAACTCCCAAACTGAAAGTATTTTTTAAATTCCTTGTAAAGTAAAAATAAAGCCCCACTATCTGCCTAGCTTTGCTCTGATGATAAACTATATTTGATACAATATAGGTAAAAGATGTTATTAATGTATTTGCCAACATGAAATATTTTCCCAGCCTACATATGGAATAAGCATTCTTGCTGTGTGGATTGGGTATTTACTTCTAGGGATCAGACCAGGTGAGGACAGACAAGTGCTAGTATAGGGCGCTGCACTTCCCGCCCCAACAAACACAACATCCAAATGCTTACTAAACACAGTATCATTTTATAAATCACAGTGAGCTGAAACAAAGCAATTAGGTTCATTCAAGCACATCAGGATCATCTGCAAAAAGTAAAAAATGGTTTATGCACACCAGACTAATGGGTGTGAATTGAAACGATCCTGTAATACTCGAAGTCCTACTGGATGCTGGGGCAGGTCAGATTTGGGGCGAAGAAGCTGAGGCGGTAAGGATTTTTTGAAAGAGAATCCTTTCAGTAGCTCTTATCTCCAGAGACACCGTTATCACAAGGATCCTGAGTATCATTATTGCCATTTTCCAAGCAGAGAACAAAAGCACGACATACTATCACAGAGCAGCGGCAGAAAACATCTCAGACGCTAACTCCTACTTTCTTTTTCCAGGCCAGTGACAGAGAATCTGCTGTCCCTACGACGAACATCTGCCAGTGACATATTTACAAACAGCAACTGTGTATTTACCAAGTTAGGAGGTGAATGGCCACAGAATGTAAAAAGTCTTGCCCTAAAGAGATCACCATTTATGTAGGTGGAGAGCCCAGACAGGTTTGGGGATTTAACAACAAACATATGCAAATGTATTTATTGATCAGAATTAGCTATGGTGAGCTCATGGCACAGAGTGAGCTGATAAATTTTAATGGAGGAAGGATGGGAAAATGCTGTGTTGGACATAGCACAATAATCCAGGGTGAAATCAGATTTTAAAAAGTCAAAAGAGATGAATGACTCTGGATTCACTCTAAACCATAGCCATTCTAACAGCAAAAAACCAAAATAAAATAAAATCACATTGTGAGACAGTTTGGCTACCATCAGGTGCTCAACAACAGCATGAAAGTACACGGTATGAAAACCCTCACACCATGTATATATCACTGGAGAACAAACTTCCACTAGCAGTCCTTTCAGTACTACAGCTCACAGGCATTTATGTCAGAAGTTGCTCCCACGCGGACACGGGCTATTTGTGGTGTGAGAATACACAAGCTCCTGAAGCCGAGCTTCCAGCTCCTGAGGAAGAGGGGACCCGGGGCTTCTGAACCCGCTTAGGAGCCTGCTTGTTGTCCCCAGCTTCTTCAGCCGTACACTCCGGAGGCTCTAGGTCATCGTATCTTCTCCGATACACCATCCTTGAGATTACAGTTATCAGAAACATTTCCATGATGAGGAGCTGCTGCGTTATATCTGCCAAAAAAAGGGAGGCAAAGAAAAGCCCCCAACAGGAGGAAATGACTATCAGACACAAAGTGAACACCTCGCTTACTAATTTTCATCTGCGCAAAAGGAACAAACTTCACCAGCCTGTCCCCATAATGGAGTGTCTCTCACACTTGGCAATAAAATCAGTGGCAGAATTGCAGTATTGCCCATCAACAAGCATGCAATAAGTTATGCATTCAAAATGCAAGAGATTTAACAGTAATTATGTGTGTTGATTCCTCGTCCTCTCATGTCTGATTCCAACTCTTCTCATCATCAAGTTTTTCTCTGCGACTATGACAGCTACAAAACTTTTGTTACCATGTTTTAATTAAAAGCTGAGATTCTCCAAAAGCTACATGATCCCAGGAAATTAATATTCTGGGAAAACACCAGATACTGCAGTTAGTAACACTGAACTGGCACCCTTCTAAGTAAATGAACAACGTCCCTCCCAAAAGAACTTACATGTTCCTCTTGCTGAAGAGGAGAGTGGTGGAGCACAGGGAATAATCCTTCGCATGGCGAAGATGCTGATAATAGCTGCCTGCAAGTGGTTCAGAATGAGGATAAACTGTACCAGAAAGAGAAAACAGATGCCTTAGCTACCAGGAAAAGGTTTATACTTCATACCACAATTCTGTTTTCATAACAGACCCTCTTTTGCCTCACTTCTCCTTTCTTGCCCTTCCTCTCCCCCGACCTACCAGCCGGCTGCCTGCCATTCTGCAGAATTCATCTTTCGGTCAGGATGATATTGCTTTGAATGTGAATGTTAAATTAAACCTCTGTTTGAAAATTGTTTCTTCTCAGCCATTAATTTGGGAGGTGCACCATATACAGAGCTCCCAGCTGGGATTTTAAACAATACTGAGCTTTGAACAATAGGTAACAATGTTTTAAAAACTTCCTGTCAATCTAACCGATGAGCTTATGGTCTCCCTTTGTAGGACTCAAAGCACATTTTTTCTGTTGTCTCCTCTTTTTTCCACAGCAGGCAGATGTGGTTCTCCTCAAGTTATACAGGACTGGCTCCTCTGCCAGAAAGGATGAAGGACTCTTTGCAGCTCGGCTTCAGCAGCAACCACGCTTCATATTACCTGCTATTTGCTGAGATAGGCCTTCGCTGCCTGGAGATACCAAAGTGTCTTTCTAGCTGCTGGTGTAACTGCCTGAGTATAAATCCTTGCATTAAGAGAGTTTGCCATCTTAAACCTGGATTCACCCCAATGCAGCTCTGCAGGTGTGACTATCCTGTCCACTGCATTTATAAATGTTCCACAATTCACTTAACAGAGACCGCAGAACTGCACCAGCCTCTCTGCGTCTCCTGTTCAAGAAGGATGCGTATCCAAGGATTCTGCTGTACTCTCTTCAGGGTGATGTGGAAGAGGGTGGCCCTGTCCCTGGGCTTTTTAAATCTAACCTATCTGGTTCTGTTCCTTACTATTTAATGATTCCCAGACAGTATTTTCATTATTATCTAACTCTGAAGTACAGAATGGCCAAGAAAAATATTGTCAAAACAGAACATTGTGACATGCTGAAACAGTTCAAACAACAGCCACCCACACAATGCTCCACATCTTCTCCTAGTTTTTAAAAGTACACACCAGCATTTTAACATTGTGTTTCGGGATTCTGCATCTACAAAGCTTCCTTCAACCCCGCAGAAGGTGCTGTTTTGATTTCAGTTGCCTAAAGATGGACGGATTTTACATGGCTTTCACATCTCCATCTCTCCTGAGAGACTAGAGGTATATCGGCTCAAGCTGAAACTGAACAGCAGCCAAGAAGAGTGCTTCAAAGGGATGCAGACTTTATCAGGTAAAAATATACCTTTGCACAGTGCATTTAATGGGGGAAAAATACTGTAATTTTTCAACAAAGGACCAAGAACCAGAGTGACAGTGTTATGTCAGCAGTTAAGAGAAATTCTTATCAGAAATATTAAACTTCTCACCTGATAAAGAGCAAATTTTGGGACAATCTTCTTAGAGATAAGGATAGTCCTAACTTGTTGAAACATGATTCCAACTGGCCACAGAGCAATAATGGTGAGGACACCAACGAAGCAGCTAATCCATATTGCAGCTCCTTTGGGAGATAACTGTGAAGCAAATCAAACAAGTGCACCCATAAAACTTTAAAGTGCATTTTACAGTTTCCAGGAAGTTGCTGTGAACTGGATGATGTAGATGTTACAATGCTTGTTTCCATCTCCATGAAAGCTGATGGAGCAGCAGTTGCTAGGGTTTGCACGAGAAAATTGCACAGTATGAAGTGGAGTGTTAGCACAGCGCTCTCACCCAGCAGGCACGGACATGTGCATCTGTTCAGCCTGGGGAAGTGACATAGCCCCTCAGTCTGACCCCAGCAACACCTGGGAACAGTCAGCAGCTCATGAGAGCATATTCAGCATGACATCTCAGAGGGGTCATTTATTTCATAACATGAAACAACAAAAAAAATTATTACTTTTAATCTGAGTTATCCAAGGCATGCAAAACTATTAGCAGATACAGACTTCTCCATCGTCTCACAGCTTACATGATACAAAGCAAAAGTACAGTACTAACTTTTCTACTTTCCACAGATACAAAAATGACCATGATTTGCAGAAAAACGTAGAATTGGGCTTCCTGTTTACATGCCAGTACACACTCGTTTCTTAAAGCTGCACTTCTGAAAACACAGGGCAGGTACATCCCACAGGGCAGGTAACCTGCAGTCCTGCTGTTCTAACCATACAAGCTGGGAAACATATTGGAGCATCACCTGCTGCCCAACCCACCCTGATGCCCAGTTTGTTTCTGAGAGAAGCCAGTAAATGGAGAGTCTGGGGGAAGGCAGAAACGACATGCTTCAGGGTCTCAAAAGAATACAGTACGGACTCACTTAGAAGTGCTCCCAGATTTCACAGTTTAGTTGTAGGCCAAGATACTAACGTCAACCCTAAAACCTGTGGATTTTGTGGACCATCTCTGATTAAAATATTTACTTACACTGTAAGGGCTGTAATTGCCATTAGTCCAAAGCACTATTGATAAAAACATGAGCACGGGTCGAAGGAAAGCAAACTGAAAGGTGCCCAGCTTCAGCCAAAAGAGAGTTCGCCTGGCAAAAAAAAAAATAAAAAAAAATCACATAGGCCAAGATCTTACTAGCAACCTTAATAACGTTTCTTGGATACTGTCAATCGTAAAACTTTTCCACCCCCGTAGCATGTGGCTAAAATCTGGGGAGGAACAGCTTCAAGATTAGAAAAATCTTTCCAAGAATTACCCAGTGTTTATTTAGTACAGTCTCTACAAAAACTGTACTTTTCCTGTTCTGCAGCAATTACATACTAACCAAAGCTGGGCAAAGCGTGTTATCTTCCTCTGCCCTGAAGCTAACCAGAGAGCCAGTAGCAACATAACTGTGGTTTCTGAACAACAATGCCACTTGCTCTTGCCTTGTTACCTTACTATTCAGTTTTCCGATGAAATTGGGCAGTTCAGTCTTCCTGTTCAGGCACTTCCTAGTCCTGTGGCAGATCAAGAAAGGGAATCATACAGACCTAGGTGAAAGGACTGGTAGTTTTTCAATGCATCATGAATCCTACCATGTAAGCATCTGTTTTTGCTCCCCTGTACTCTAACAGAAGAAAGGAACTATCTTTCGCTTGGCAAACCGCACAAGGTCAGCAGCACAGCTCAGGATTTCTTTACTTCTGTCAGTCTAAACCAGATCCACAGGCCCCACACAGTAACCTGGCCAGCCAGCATCAGAGGCCACCAGGAAAGGGTCAGATGCACTTTCTAACAGCGGGCATGAAAGCTGACTGACCTGAACGCTCCTTCGGTCTTCACCGGACAAGCTGGGGCTGCTATGGGCAGCTGACCTTTTAGTCTATTCCTGTGTATTATTTCCCACCCTGCCAATGTTGTCTTGACTGCCGCTCCTTGGGCCCCTTCGGTCTTCACCGGACAAGCTGGGGCTGCTATGGGCAGCTGACCTTTTAGTCTATTCCTGTGTATTATTTCCCACCCTGCCAATGTTGTCTTGACTGCCGCTCCTTGGGCCCTTGAGACTGCCATCAGAGATGCCTCAGCAAACAGGCTGCCATTTAGTATGCTATAAGATATAGCCATGAACCAGGAATTATAGGGATTGCTCAATGAACATAGCTAATAACCACGGGATTATGAAGAGCACAAACACATGTGGAAAGGCCTGCAACCGGCCAGCCACTTAGTGTGTGTGCCTTTTCAATGACTTGTTATTCCCAAAGCGCTTTAAAAAATAGTATGACAAACAGCGCAGTCACTGCAATGCCACGAGTGCTTCCCTTGTCAACGCAGGTCTATCTTCCTTGGCCATCGGACCTCTTCTGCCACATCTCTCCCCACTGTATGGCTTGTTACTTTGCCTCATCTGCCTACTGTACCTTGTTAGCTTTCCCAGAACTGCTCTATAGTATAGGTTGTTTTAAAAGAATGAATCCTTCCCTTGGAGTAACTCCCTGCTTCCCCAGAAGATACCTATGGGAGCAATACAAGACTGGCCTTTCTCTGGTATAGCTTGCTCATATTTCAAATAAATTGTACCCTGTAATGGGACAAGGCTAGAAGTCAGAAGCAGAGACAGCGGATGGGTTCCCCACTGCTACAGACACTGGAGCTGGAGTCCTAAGCCCTCTGCAGAGCAAAAGCATTTTTCTTTAAACAGACAGCTGTCCTTCTGCCCAGCAGTAGTAGGCACCATCTAGCTCCTGAAAGGAGTTAATATTAGTTAATACCATCATGCATAAGCTGTCACTGGACTGATCAACAGGAGGGCAGAGTAGAGGATCCCCTCCCAAGCTCCCAGCTACCACAACCTATACACAGGGTGACAGACACGGAAAGAAAAACAAATATACTGGTGACACGTTAGATCTATAGCACAGCTCTGTCCCATGGCATTTCTTCAGCTCTGACTGCTGAAATAATCCTGAACCAATGCCCATGAAAATTAACAGGAGTCATTAAGATGCATATCAGTAGCTGACGATTTTACGGCATTGTATTACATCTATTTTTGGAGGTATATTTTTCAGTTGGTTTACTACCTATTTTTCTTGGTGCCCTCTCCATGTAAATAATTACTGCATTCTATTAAAATAAAATGATGGAAATAAGAGTTGACATTCTAATATCAAATGAGGCAGATCAAGGAAGGATTATTACAATAAAAATTAAGAATTTTTGCAAATGTATCACAAACAGCTATGCTGTGTTCTGTTTGCTGCTTTCCTTTAACCGGACCATAAAGTCCCTAAGGTGCCTCTGACACCAATGTCCAGGCCCTCACAGAAGTCTCTGTCTTGCATGTTCAGTCCTTCAGCTTTTGCTCCTAATGAGAGAAACATTCCCATACCCTGTGCCAGCAGGAAAGCCCTGGGAAATACATGAGGTTTCCAGGCTGTGGAGTGGCTTGTAAATGACAGGGTGACACTAGGCAGAGGAGGAGCCCCACCAGGCAGTGCTCCAAGGAGGCAGGGTTTCTGTCACAGTCTATTGGCTCCCGTAGGTGCAGCTCTCCATCCTCACCCCACTTCTCCGAGGTGCATTAATACCAAGTTTAGCAGAAGAAAAATTTTTGCTTTTGCCTCACCAGACAATGCCATTTCCTTGAGGTCAAAGCTTTCCAGGAATCAAATCTAATTTTTGTTCTAAAAATCATTCTAATCTGAAGTATTTTAAAGTCAAAATCAGAATGAAACATTTCAATTTCATCGAAGTAAGAGAAATTTTCTTTCAAGACAGTCTCAATGTGACAATTCTGCTTGTGAAAAATACCCAATTTGGAGACATTTGTTCCCTTCTAGAATGAAAAGAAACTAAAATCTCAATTATTGGGTTTTCTAGAGCAGAAATTCCTCCTTCCACACACCACTGCTTACTACAGAAATGGTTTATTGGAAGGAGAAAGGGACTAGTTGGGGAGATCGCACAGTGCTCAACTGTGCTCATGAGTGGGAACACTGCACTGGGTTAAACTGAGTGAGCTCATACTCTTGACTCTTATGCAAAATTCTGCATTATAAAAACAAAATAGATTAGTGGTGGTGTACAGCCCCAGAGTGATGGCACTATTTAAAAGAGACAGCTTGAGACTGACTTTCGGGAAGCAGGGAGGCCCTTTGCTGTAAGCCTGCCCTTGCCAAGTTGGCTGAATTCCAGCAGCCTGTTTTCCAGCCTGGAAATCTTAAAGGGCAACTCACCTAGTGATGCGCACACGAGGGAGGCAAAGGCAGCAGCAGCAGCACGGACCAGTGCTGATCTTGAAGTGATCATTTTCAAACCGCCTGAGAAGCAGCTTTTGACCTCCACACTCCTTAATCATCAGCAGCAGGAACTTGTGGATAACTATAGCAAAAAATCTAGGAGAGGAAGAAAATGCCAGCGTGAACTTGCCTGTGCGTCTCTCGTACGCCGGTGCCGGCCAGTGCTGCCTTTTGTCCAGGGTTTTTACAGCTTGGGCTTTGCAGCCAACAAATTCCAGCACTAGCTGTGAAAAACCTTCAGCTTTCCATCACCTTGGAGGACCAGAACTGCCATAACCTCACCAAAAGAGGAGTAAACTGAGGCACGGAGCAGCTCTGGAATTTCCCAGAGCCGCACTGATGGCAGAGTCAGGATGAAAGCACCGGCTTTTCTGGCCCAAGTCATTGTGGCTGTACTTTTCTCTCTGTTACCTAGTCCTGACTGGTCCACACTTTTCAGAACAAGTCCTTTTCCTCCTTTTACAAAAAAAACCCCAACCAACCAACAGCAACGAACCTGGCTAGGTTCACATATATGTACGTATATAGTTATCACTGTGTGTGCTGCCCCAGTCAGGGTGCGGTTCCTCTGCAGCCAAAGCTGATCCAAGCACCGACTGTGGCAACCCCACCTCTCCCTCCTTCACCAGCTGCACATTCTCAACCCTCCCCAGGAACTACAGATTGTGCAACCACCCTTTCCTCCCTGTCCCAAACTGATTTAGGCAACTGATTCACTGAAATCCAGCCTCACCAAATAAAGGGGGTCCTCTTCAGCTCCGCTGCCTCCTTGAAGGAGCGTGCTGTGCAGCTGGAGACTGTGAGCCGTAGTGGATGCAAGTGAGGGGATAGGGAACTGCAGCTCGGCCAAGGGAGGAGGGGCAATTCAGACAGGCTTAAAGTGCCATAGGAGTGGATGCTTGGAAGTTTTTGGTAATCTGCACCACCTGCACAAATTGCTGCATGCTCACAGTGTTCCCCACTACTGTGTTTTCCCTCCTTTTTTACTCTACTCTCTTAGTAAATGCAATGCGACAAGGGGTGAGGCTGTTCATCAGAGTCTGTGATACTGTCCTGCAGTGGGTTCCAAAATCACCCCCAAACCAACCGTGGAGTGCCCAAGGCCACGGCATCCCCCCCACCTGGCTCTGCCTACCAGGGCTGAGCCATCACCTCCAGAAAGCAGGGACCACATTTCTCCCTTCTTCTCTGCGCTCGTCAGAGCTGTCATGCTCGTAGAGAAAGTGCTTTTATCAGGACAACCACGGAACATTTTTACATTGATATACTCATCGGAGGTTCACTTGCCACCATTAATAATAGACCTCCACGGCTCATCATTAGTGAAAGCACAGAGAAGTCACAGGTCAGAGTCTCATTCCCCATGACACACAGAGAGAGGAAAGAAAGAGTACTGCTTCAAAGCCACCGTCAATCCCAGGGATCAATTACATGCGAGTCACAGATCTTTCATACAGAGGTTCCCACACTAGGGGACTGTAGCACTGGGAACTGCTTCAGCATTTTCCATCTCCCAGAAAAGAGCTGCCAAGAGATTTCAACTCAAACCAAAAATTACTGAATTGTTAAATTTACACAATGACTGTGTTTACCAAGAGCAGCAGATGTTTAAAGGGAAGAAATTCAGGGTTTAGGGCCACCGTCTCGAAACAAGCGGAATACTCACACCGCTGCTGTGAAATCTGTAAACATCGTCGAGCGAGGAATCCACATGCCAATGCACGAAGTTGTAGCAATCACCTACAGAGAAAGGGAGGAGGGTTGTAAGAAGGGCAGAGATAAAGCAGGCTCATGTGGATTTTGAGGAAAACCCTATTTTCAACATTCAATTTTATCTCTTTTCCATGACAACTCACTGGAGCTGCGGCATTAATCCAAATTATGACTGATCTTTTGGAGGAGGGGATTTTCCTGTAGATGTAGACTGCTTCCTCTATAAACACCAGATTGGCAATTAGTGTCATCAGAGTCAAGATTGCGAAAAGAAATTTCCCTGGTAGGTCAAGGCCTGCAGAGAGAGAAAAGAAAACAGAAATTCCTCACTTATTTCATAAGCATTCCAAACACTTAATGGATAAGACACCGTCTCTGAGGGGCTTCTTAGCCCCCCTGTTCCTGCAAAGACTGGCACCCATCCTTAGCTACACAGATGGACCACTGCCTCCACTCGATGATTCAAATGTTTAAGTTCACGACTAAATTTTTCCAGGATCCACAGACAGCATATGGGAAGAATATGCCTCCATGTTCTCAAAGCATGATGCAAAAGCCCCCTTCGGAAAGGTGGAGTTCCAGGACAAATGTCCTTAGATGAATGTAAATACCTAACAGAATATAAATGCATAATACATGACATCAGTAAATACAGTAAATACATATCCTGGGAACTTTTCCAGGCAGACTATAAGCAAAAACGTATTTACTCAGTATTAGGGTTCTGTATGTTGGCAGGCATGTTTGTGCATCACTAACTGAGGCGTGCAAAGCTTTCAGAGGCTCGGTGGAAGTTTGTGGGGGACACGAACAACGGAAGGACAAGCCCCCAGTCTGTCCAGCCCGAGATAAGACCTGATGCCTTCACCAAACCCTTTTCTACCTTTCCCTTAAAGGCTGGCTACGGATAGCAACTTTCACCCACGGCTGCCGGCGGAGGTGGATTTTCTCCCGAGAAGGGTGCTTCCCGCCCCGGCTGCCGGCGGGGCAGCCCCGCAC